GCCTCTTTATTTATCAAACAGGGAATCCTAACACCTTCCATGTGGGATTATTGTAGAAATTAAATGAAGCCATAAAGGATCGTGAGTAAAAAGTTCTTTTGTGCCTGACAGATTTAAGAGTTCAATAAATATTGCCATTATTGTCATTATCGTCATCACAAGTAGGATTTTTTATTTTATGATTCTGAGAAGTACTTGGAGATTAACAAAATTCACTAAGCACTGATGTCTTCAGATTTGGAGCCCAGGTTTGGATTCTACCTCCTTTTATCCCAGCCTGACTTAATAACCACTTCACTCTTTGCTAAAGCAGTCCCTTATGTGTTGCTGACACTGTCTTAGTTTTGAAAGGGCCACACTTAGTTTGCAGGCATGGAATTTTTGTCATTCTTCATCTGGTTGTTCTGTTTCTGCTCTTGCATGGCTGCATAGCTGCCCATGAGTCTGGCCTAAGTGCAAGTCAGACATCCTATTTCCACCTGTCTTTGTTGCGGCAACACCTGGAGACAACCTGTTTGAACCAGTGTCTAGCCAGCAGTGAGGCCTTGACTTTGAAGCATGAAATGAGTCGAGACCTTGTTCTTGGAAACTTCAGGGCTGACATTTGCGTGTCGCTCACCCATGAAATTTGTCTAAAGGTTCCGTGCTGACATTAGCCACAGATTTCAGCTCCATGACCTTGGAGTAGTCTTGCTTTCCACAGAAACCAAGTCCTGATACAAAGAGTAATGCCACCACTGATCTGTCAATCTGCACAGAGACACAGGTTTTGTATCTGCCTGCAGCTTTCTTTTCCCTTGCCTACGGAGGGCACCCACCTCCTCCATTTGGGAACACAGTCCTCCTTTGGCAGACACACATGGGCCCGCCATATTGCTGTGTAGTCATCGCGCACAGACGATGTGCACAGTCTTAAAAATGGGTTACTTTGTTTGGCAAAGAGCAAGTCTTGGGGAGCAGGTTGCCAAACTAACCGTGGATTCTATGAAACTTTTGCTCATGTGAATGAAATACTTCTAAAAGGGGAAATCATCCAGCTTGGGATGAGCTATAAACTCCCTGCAAAAACCAGTTTTCCTTATGAAAACCAGTTTTTTCATGGGTTCAACTGAACCCCAAAACAGCTCAGTATCATCTCAGATATGGGGCTCCCACGTTATGAAGTCACTAGGTGACTGCATCCACACAGGCTAAGTGAGAGGTGAGCCCAGCTACCCTGACACCACACCTTGGAAGCTTCTTCAGCTCTATGTCATCATGGTAATCACACATTGATCATTAAAACTACAAAAGGGGGCCTCCCTGGTGGCGCAGCGGGTTAAAGCACAGCACTAAGAAGCTTAAGCCACTTCCGCATGAGTTCGATTCCCGCCTGCCCCAGAGGAGATCCACATGGCGCGGCAGACCTCTCCTGGCCTGTCCACTGCTCCCCTCAGCAGTGTACTTCGTCCATCTGCCTGTTCTGCTCCCCAATCTGTCTCTGGTGAATCCTCTCACCCTCCACATCTCTGGCCTGTGCCCCAGTTCTGTATGAATAAATAAATAAATCTTAAAAAAAAAAACTACAAAAGGATTTTCAGGGTTCCTTTTGCCTAAATTCTCAAAGCCAGCAAGTTCTATATCTGAATTAGCATGGATATTGGGCTGGATCAGATATCAGACAAAAGAAAAAGAGAGCCAGAGGTCCAGGGCAGAGGTTAGTAAATTTACTCCCAGGTAAATCTGGATGCAGATAAGAAATCCATTGAATTCTACTGCATTTTCAAACATGCTGTTAAATATTTGAGTTGTGATGCTTGCTTATTCTAGTTTGTTTGCGTTAGTGTTACTATTTCTTTTTAACTAAATACTTAAACTTTCATTCTTAAACTCTTCTGGGGCAAGATCATGACTACATCATCTTTGTATCGCTCATGTTTCTGCCCCAAATTTGTAGGTTTATCAATATGAACCAGATTGAATTATAGGTTCCTCCCGCCCTAGCATAGAAGGTATGTAGTACAAAATAAATAGTAAGAGGTAATATGTGATAAGAAGATATCTCTTCTGTTTTCAGTGACAACAGGTTAGAACCTGCCTTTGGGGATTGCCTTGAGCAGCTTGGGGCTATTTTGTGGCAGGTCCCTATGAGTAGTTGACTACACAAAAGAGAATCTATTCCAAGGCAGTCGCTTCACCTTTGTGTATATTTGCTTTTCAACAAGTTTCCTTTCTATGGCCCATGAGTTGTGCAAATGTGAGGAGCTTAAGCCTTACCTGAGTTATTATTTGAGTCGTATTCCAAAGGTATACCTTTTGGGAAATTTGAGACAATTTTTTTTTTAATAAGCCTGTGACTTGCCTAAGTGAGAGTTACAATTCAGATACATTGAGAGCCATTTTTACCATAGACAACAATATCTTAAACAACCCACTTTTCCTACTTTTCAAAAGCAACTTGTATTGTCAATTTGCAGATAAATAAAATCAACTTCTTAATTTATTAATTTACTTGGAATAGAAATCTAGACTGATCACAGTTGGAAAGAATCAGCACTCAAAATATTTTACTAGTTTATTAAGGTTTTCACCAGGAATCTGATGATTTTTAAACTTTGGTCGCTACCATCTGACTTCCACAGCTTGACAAAGGGGTTAAGACTTCCTGTGGCTTGAGAAAAATTGTTCAGGACATTAAGTTTGGAAGAGGATTGGCCAATGAAGTCACCAGAAGATCATACTAAAAGTTCAAATGTTCATGTTTTTATCATAGTCCTTCTGTGTCAGGGAAACACGCCAATCTTACCTTCAACTCAGGTAAAAATCTAGCTTCCTACTCCCCACCCCAAAATAAAAGATGATAAGCTTGTTAAAAAGATCTGCCTTTAAAAAAAAAAAAAAAGATCTGCCTATCTGCCTAGCTCTGGTCAGTTCCTACACTTGAAAGACCTATCAGAAGATAATAATATCAAATCAAATCTGCTTGTAACTCACATTCAGCAACCAGTTCAATGCAATTGGGGTTCTGTATATGTCTCTCTCCCTCCCCCCACCCCACACACACGCAAAGAGAGAGAATTAATGTGTACATGTGTGACGTGAATTTCTGAATCTTTGAATTTAGTTAAGTTTCAAAAATGCCTCAGTTCATTAGTGCTATAGATAGAAAGTGTCAACATAAGGCATTCGGTGCAACCTGAGAACCTCATAAGGGTTCAAAAGTGGAAGCAAAGTGAGGTAGCTGGCGTCTGTTCTTTTTCGACTTTTTTTTTAATCCAAGTCTTTGGGGGAATCATGTACTATGCCAATGCCCTCAAGGAAGCAAAGAGAGAAAAAGAGAGTGGACACATTTATTGGTTAAAACAACCTCTCTCTAGAAGCAGATCACCTAGCAGTGGAAGGAAGGTGAGAAAAATTAAAAACATGGATTTGGGGAGAATTCAAATGGCAGGGCTTGGGATCCACTCTAGGAAATAATGTTGATAGAAAAGGAAGAATATATGTCTGAACCAAAAAAATAAAATCAGTTAGAAAACAATCCCTAAAAGAGATTTCAAATATTCTTCCAGTAATTTGACAAAACCCTTATTTGACAACAGACAGCTGGCCATCAGAAACTACACTCCTTTACCTTTCTCCCTGTGAGGTTTATACTCATTCTTCATTGAGGACCTCAAAAGCTTCCTCATTTAGTACAGTAGCCTCTGCCACCTGCCTCCCGTCTCCATCAGCCTAGTAAACCATTCCTTCTTCTCAGGTCCCAGTTTAATTCTCAGAAACCCTTCTTGATGGTCATCTCTTGTATATATAATGTTAGTGCTTAGATGATGTTTGAGATCCTGATAGTTTTAAATTCCCTTAACTCCTCCCCCTTCTTCTTTAGTCTACTCATTCTTCTTTTTTTTAACCTGATGCTTTTTTAAAAAAGATGTATTTATTTATGCATATAGGAATTGGGGTACAGGTCAGAAGTTTGGAGTGGTGGTGAGAGAATTCACCAGAGACAGAGTGGGAGCAGAACAGATTGATGGAGTACACTGCTAGGGGAAAAGCAGGTGGGTCAGGAGAGGTCTGCGGAGCCATGTGGGTCACCTCCTGGGCTGGGATTCAAACTTGTGTTGCAGTGGCTATGGCAGCTTCATAGTGTTATGCTTTAACCCACTGCACCACCAGGGAGGGCCCCATTCTTATTTTTTAATGTTTGCCTTGAATATTAGGTCAGCTTCCTGGGGGCAGAAATTTAATCCTTTCTGCCTTAATCTCTTAATTCCCAGTCCCTAGCACAGGGCCTAACGGCCAGACAGTGCTCAGAAAATCTTTATTGATTTACCTGTATCCCAACAAATTCAGGATTAATGTACCCTTGACCAGGGACACCTACAATATAAAGAGTCTGAAAATCTTAAGGCCAATATAAACAAGAATCATGGAACTTGGAGAATCAGGGCCATCCATAGCATTAACCTATAAAGATGCATTTCCCAACACCTTTGACATGAATGTGGATTTAGACTCATTATAGATAAATGGATGCTAGCAAATAATTCTGGGAGCATGGCATGGAGAAATTTAGTTAAAAATGCCTACAATGCTGACTGTTGACTTTGGATAAGAGTGTCTTAACTCTGCCTAGGAGGCAACTCTGTGATCTCCCATGAGCTGTTCTGGACCAGCACTACAGGAACAACGCAGTACTTAAGGAGCTTAAGCAAAGTCACCCAAATATAGGTTGTCATTCCTTTCTTCTGCCCAGTTTACTGAGATATAATGACATACACTGTGTAATTTAAGGTGCCCAGCCTCAGATTGAGCGAGTCCTCTGGCGCCATTCAAACACCCAGGGCCTCTGACTGGGTCAATTAAGCAGACACCTAGAAGTCAAACCAACAATTTTTTAACCAATTGGTTTAAAAAAAAAAAAAAAGGATGTTACTGTGTAATTCTCGCCTACTTTTCTCCACCCTGGATAAATGTCAGTTTGAGCCACAGTGAAGGCGGAAGCGGAAGCCACTTTGACTTACCAAACCTCCTCAGGGAGCCCAGGAATGGCTGATCTCTGTGGGGTGACTGATGCAAGGTGTCCTTCCAATGCCTCGTTACTTCAACTCTGAAATGGAAAATATAAAACTATTCATCGAGAGACAGCAAATGGGGAGTTTGCACTTAGGAAGCACTAAGTGGAATGGGGAGCAGGGGAGAAGCGTTATCATCACACACCTGTGTGTGCACGAGCCCAAGTGACTGTACAGCTACACGATGGAATGGTGGGGAAGTTCCCACCACACACATACGGGGGAAAATAGGACATCCTTTTGCCAAGTCCACAAGGTTATGCAGGTTCATGTCAGCTAACGCCATTCAAGGAAGAAAATCCCACTCTGACAAGGGGATAAAAGGGAAACGGGTAAAGAGGTAGGGTGACAAGGAAGAGGGGTGCACATATGTGCTCAAACCTCAGCTCTCCTGCTTGCTAGCTGAGGATACAGAGGACATGCTTGGCCTTACTTCTTTCCTCTATTCATATTCAGCTTTTATCCAAGTGCCAACCCATCACCTTACAAAATATACTATTTTAAGATTTAAAATAAGGTCTTGGGCATTTTACTCGACTCTTCTGGGTCTCGTCTTTGTCTCATCTAACAGGGGCAGAATGTTACCCACCTGTTAAGGACATTGGGGCAGTAAATAAGGTGACAGCTATGAAGTCCATGGAGCCGAGGAGAGACAACACTCAGCTGTCAGTGTTTTAAATACTCCCTTACCTTTGAAGGAAGCCCTTTCCAGCTGTTTTTGTTCTGCCCACATGTAAATAAAATTCCACAACTACTCAGCTTCATCTTAAAGTGAAAAACCATTTGATCAGGTAGGTTGTGTACCCTAATTTTCTTGTACTATTCTTCCCCCCACAATGACTATAACCATGACAACGCGCTGGCTGTCATCAACTCCAAGAACCACCACGAGTCCACAGTCTGCCTTTGGGAAAGAGAGATGGACTTCTGCTAACTCCTGCAATCCAACTCAGTGCTTGTTTGCTCCAAAGTTCCCTCAACTCAATGGCCTAATTAACTAAGCTTGAGCTTTTGATTAACATATGGTGCTTAAAGGAACTTTGACCACAGAAACTTGGCGTTTGACTTGCTTCCCTGAGTCCAACCTGTGTCACGAGTGCCAGTTTCAAGGGTAATAAGGACCTAGCTGTTTGCTTACAGCAAACGGAGGTGATCTTACCTACTCTGTCCTCCAATCCCTTGGCAAGAAAAGTTTTCAGCCTGTTTATCAATTTGGAGAATGAGAGGACTAAAAGGATATATATTTCCAAACTGAAAATCACCTAACTTCTAGCTGGTGTTTGTGGTCCCAAGATCAAAGTGATCAGAGATGAAGCATTTCACCAGGTGCATGCGATCGACTTCCAGATTCTGCTTTGGTGAACTAACCGCTCTCTGTGACAGTTCCTAGCTTTTCTTTCCTTAACATGTCATGAAATCCGCATCAGACACAAGGCGGGACCACAGCATTTAAGAGTTTGTGACAGCATGTAAGAGTTTGCGTTCCTGGGCCCTCCCTGGTGGCGCAGAAGGTTAAAGCACAGATTCTGTGTGAGTTCGATCCCTGCACCAGAGTTCATTCACAAGGTGCAGCAGACCTCTCCTGTCTCACCTGCTGCTCCTCTCAGCAGTGTATTTCATTGATCTGCCTGTTCTGCTCCCCATTCTGACAATGGTGAATCCTCTTATCGCCCCTGCAATTCTGGCCTGTGTCCCAGTTCTGTATGCACAAATAAATAGATCTTAAAAAAAAAAGTTTGTGGGGCCCTCCCTGGTGGCGCAGCGGGTTAAAGCACAGCAATGAGAATCTAAAGCCGCTTCAGCATGAGTTCGATTCCCGCCTGCCCCGGAGGTGACCACATGGCGTGGCAGACCTCTCCTGACCCGCCCGCTGCTCCCCTCAGCAGTGTACTTCCATGATCTGCCTGTTCTGCTCCCCACTCTGTCTCTGGTGAAGTCTTTCACCACCCCTGAGTCTCTGGCCTGTACCCCAGTTCTGTATGAATAAATAAATAAAATCTTTTAAAAAAAAATTTTTTAAAAAAAAAAAAAAAGTTTGTGTACCTGCCTACTATGGAATGGATGTTATCCCCCACCCAAACTGACATGTTGAAGTCCAGACCCCCGTACATCTTAACTGACTGTACTTGGAAATGTGTTCCATATAACATAACAAAATGTGTAAAATTTTTGATAGCTTTGGTAAGGACATTGTTTTAAAAAGTATACATTTTATTATGTAAATTTTAATTCAATAAAAGATTAAATAAAGATGGAAAGACTGTAAGACAGGACAAAGGGAAAATCAAGGGGAAATGGATATTTATATTCCAATGAGAAAGGAAAAAGACTTCAAGAAAGAACTTGCTTACAATGATGCCCCAAAACATCATTTCTTAGAATCAAAAATGTTAGCTAAGGGTGTAAAAGCTTCTTTATGCAAGAAACATTGTGAAAAATATATATTTTTTGCCCTAATTATCCTTTGTGTAAAGAACAACACTTTTTACCCTTAGACACACTGCACAAGCTGCCCTCTTGTGGCTTTGATATTTATTTCCAGAGCACAAAAGTGAGCAGTCATTGAACTGTTGGGGAAGCAATCCTAGCTGCCCACAAATATTGCCCAAGGTAACCGAGTGGGTGGACAGCTACTTCTACATAAGCATCCACATGTCAGTGGGGACTTGGGGCTTGGCCCAGCTTTAAGTAACTAAGAAAATAAGGTAGCCACAAAATACACACGGTTTGCGGGTAACAGATTCAAAGGATTCAAATTTAAATCGGTGCTTAATGTCGATGCATTCTCATAGACACTTTCACTTTCACAACATAGAATCCGTATATCAGACGCAAGCGTTTGCCTCAAACAAGGCAAGTGCGAGGAAAACAGACCACATAGTTTTTGAATTACACCATCTGTGAATATTATTCACTATTCCAAAGGTATCTTTTTACAAAGAAAGAAAGCAACAAGAGTGAAGCAAATACTACCCAACATCAGCTTGTATTAGGGAAATCTAGGTGTCTCATGAAATGTTGATTTTGTTTAAAAAAAAGGAAGGAAGGGAAGCAAGAAGGAAGTAGACAAAAAAAGGAGAAAGGGTAGATCAATGACATGTCTTTCCGAAAGCTGCACTGTAAAAGGAGACGGAAAAGTGGCACAAGCTTTAACAAAAATGGCAACATCTTACCTTTAGAAAGTAATCTATGTTCACAAATACACACACACACACACACCTGTGTGTGTGCATAAAAGATAAGGTAAAGGATGGAAAAAGAAATTGCGATTCAATTGTTGAGGTGTTAAAAATTCATCTCAATCAGATCCAGTAATACAAGACAGTCCTCAATTTACACTAGGGTTAAACATGCTCCAGAAAACTAACGGCTGAATCTACATTCTGTGACAGTAGACTTTCTTTTTAAATCCAATCCTGCCACTTTCCTTCTCAGAACTCCCCAATGACTTCTCCTCACACTTGAATCAAATCCAAAGTCCTCCCCAAAGCTCCTTCCGGGACCCACCCACTGAGTCTCTGGTTCCCTTTCGACTTCATTCTCCAACTCATTCCCTCACTCTTGGCCACACTACCAGCCTACTGGCTCGCCAATATTCTCACCTTCCGGTTGCTCCCACTCTCCTACCAGCACCTGAATTCCCTCCTAGTCTTCCCTACCCAACTCCCTCCTATTCTGGTTCAGGTCTCTGCTCTGGTATCACTTCCTCCAGGAAGTCTTCCCTGACCACTCTTTTAAAGCAGCTCTCTAGTCACCAACACTGTTCTTTTCTCTACTTTTACTATATGTTCATTTTGTATCACTTTTTATCTCTCTGCCTTTTGAAATATTAGCTCCATGAGAGAAGAGACTTTCACTTCTAAAACAGGGTCTGATGCTAATCAGTACTCACTATGTGAGAAATGGAATACACCCAGTGGGGGAGACAATAGGACCTAATCAAATCTGTCCCAATGCTCTCTTGCCATCGACAAGTCCTTCCTTAGGTCTACCTCAAGTCTGTCTTATTGTAACAAAAGCCTATGTCCTTTACTTTCTTCATAGAGTGATGAATTGTAATTGACCAACAATCTTTATTTAGGGCTTGGTTAGGGTCAGAGGTTTTTGAAGATAAAATGGGATCTTCCTTCTAAGTTATACCAGCCCTTTGTTTTAAAGCAAGTTAGCTGTTTTCTCCAGACTCACACAGAAATGGTGGACACTGGCATACAAGTGATCACTTCAAGGGTGCACCGTGTCAACCTCATTCATCCCTGTACCCCATGAGTCAGCACGGTGTCAGGCAAAGAATGAACTGAGCAATAACATGCAGAGGAAAACCATAATTTCCCCAACTAAGAGGAATTTTCAGTCACTTGCATGGTGTCATTATTTCCTGCCCTCTTTCCTCTTAAAGTCCAGTTTGACAATATATTAGGCATAATTGTGTATCTGGGGGGTGGCTGTATTCTAACAGAATTCAAATAGCTGGGGGGGGGGGGGGTGCAGGGGAGGATGTGCTATGCAAAGCAGGCACACAGGACTAAAAGCCGCAGTGCCAGGACCACAAAGCAAGGCCGGAAGCTCCCTGGGGGTATTTGTTTTTCTGCAGCACCTAGGCTGTGCCCAGCCAGTCAAGGCCCATGTGTTAGGAGGGAGAAGAGATGACACTGCAGATTGAAGCTTTAGCCCATCTGGGTTATGGGCCTAGGGTAGCTTTTATGAAGTAGTTTCCTCTGTAGCAACAGCTCACATTTGCAAAGTGCCTTCAATTGTCACATACTACATGTATCCTGTCATTGACTCCTCCCAAGATAAGGGGCCAGAGGGTCTTGTCTATAAGGAGGATTCTACAAGGCTGAACAATCAAGTATTTTTTTTTTTTTTTGCATTTTTGCATCGAATCTAGGCCACTAGTCTTGAATGAGACTTTGCACAGACATCCTTTCTTCCATAGGTCAGAGCTGCCACAAGCTTTGCCAAAATAGTGATGGATTTGATTACGGGGTGTTGCCTCAGACCCAACTAGTGGTATTAAGCAATGCTGAGTAT